AGGCTGGAGGAGAAGGCAGTCAAAGGATGTGCACTTTCTATCACAGACTCACTTACTCTGCCTCTGTCTCCTCTCCTGCCTGCAGAACACCAGCACGGTGTCTCTCTGCTGAAGATTACCAAGCTCTGCTAAAGACTAAGATCTATCTGTTCTAAGAAGACTGCTTTACTCTAAGACACACACTCTCTCCCTCTCTCTCTCCAGCCAAAGTAGATAGCCCTCAAGCATCTAAGAGAAACTGTTCCTGAGTAAGGTAGTTTAGCAGTCCGCGTCCAGAACCTATCTAAGCTGGGCCGAGACCTGGCCAGTCCCGGGCCCTGACAAGTGGTGTCAGAAGCAGATCCTGACATGCCACCTTATTATTATTTTTAAAAGATGTGGTCTTGCTCTTTTTTTTTTTTTTAAACATTTCCTATTTATTTATTTTTGGCAAAGGCTGGGTTTGAACCTGCCACCTCTGGCATACACTCTAGTCCTTTGAGCCACAGGCACCACCCTTGGTCTTACTCTTATTTAGGCTGGCCTTGAACTCCTGACCTCAAACAATCTACCCACCTCAGTTTCCCAGAGTGCTAGGATTACAGGAGTGAGCCACTGGGCCTGCCCCTTTCATCATTTTTCTATGATCTCTAACTGGTAAGGGAAATGGGCCCAGCACACCTAGCTCAGAGGGGTCATGACTATAGGAGCTGGGATTGGGGCTGGGGCGAGCATCCTCTAAGGCAAATGCACACATGGACAAGATGAGGTCTATTAGCTAGGGTGAGGAGGAGGAATGTCTACTGGGAAGGCAACCACTGGGTCTGCCATGTACTGCTACCTTCTACTTTTTGATAGTTTCTTGGTACAGAGCTTCCCAGCTGGAGTCCTGTGGTACAGTGTGCTCTGAAAATAAATGGGGGTAACTGACAGTGGTTCCCTTAGCTCTAGGGGAAGCCAAAAGGGGGAGCCAGAGTTCCTAGACTGATTGCTTTTTTTTTTTTTTTGGCTGGGGCTGGGTCTGAACCCCAATACCTCTGGCATATGGGGCTGGTGTCCTATTCCTTTGAGCCACAGGCCCCCCCCTGCTTTTTTTTTTTTTTTTGAGACAGAGTCTCACTGTGTCGCCCTGGGTAGAGTGTCATGGCGTCACAGCTCACAGCAACCTCAAACTCTTGGGCTCAAGCGATTCTCTTGCCTCAGCCTTCCAAGTAGCTGGGACTACAGGTGCCCACCACAGCACCTGGCTATTTTTTTGTTGCAGTTGTTATTGTTTAGCTGGCCTAGGCCGGGTTCGAACCCACCACCCTCGGTGTATGTGGCTGGTGCCTTACCCACTGTGCTATGGGTGCCAAGCCAGACTGATTGCTTTTATCTTAGCAGCCTCTTCCATTTACCACAGTGTACAGTGTAATTTAAAGCATTCTCAGGCTGGGTACAGTGGCTTATGCCTGTAATTCTAGCACTCTGGGAGGCCGATACCAATGGATCATTTGAGCTCAGGAGTTTGGGACCAGCCTGAGCAAGGGTGAGACCCTGAGTCAGGCATTGTGCCTGGTACCTGTGGTCCCAGTTACTTGGGAGGCTCAGGCAAAAGGATGGCATGCACTCAAGAGTTTGAGGTTGCTGTGAGCTATGATGCCACAACATGGGTCAAGAAAGTGAGACTGACTCAACAAACAAACAAACAAACAAAACCTGGCTCGGGGCCTGTAGCTCAGCAGCTAAGGGTGCCCAGAGCTGGTGGGTTCGAATCCAGCCTGGGCCTGCCAAACAACAATGACAACTATAACCAAAAAATAGCCGGCGTCATGTCTGGTGCCTGTAGCCCCAGCTACTTGGGAGGCTGAGGCAAGAGAAGTTTGAGGTTGCTGTGAGCTGTGATGACATGGCACTCTACCCAGGGCAACATAGTGAGACTCTGTCTTAAAAAAAAACAAAAACAAAACTGAAAAAACCATTCTCCTTTGATTTTTAAGAAGCAGAAAAAGTTGGGAGCTCTGCCCTAGTATCCTATAGTAATGTTCCCCTATTAAAGGTTTAAGCGATTTCAAATTATTTAGTCCTTCTGATTTTCTTCGTATTTTTTTTTTTGAGACAAGATCTTGCTGTTGCCTGGGCTAGAGTGCAATGGTGTCATCATAGCTCACTGCACCCTCAACCTCCTAGGCTCAAGCAGTCCTCTTGCCTTAGCCTCCTAAGTATCTAGGATTACAGGTGCACACCACCACACCTGGTACATTTCTTTCTTTCTTTTTTTTTTTTTTGAGAGTCTTACTCTGTAGCCCTGGGTAGAGTGCCGTGGTATCATAGCTCACAAGAACCTCAAATTCTTGGCCTCAAGCCATCCTCTAGCCTCATCTTCCCAAGTAGCTGGGACTACAGGCATTGGCCACAATGCCCAGCTATTTTTAAAGATGGGGGGGGGTCTCACTCTTTCTCAGGCTGGTCTTGAACTGCCAAACTCAGGTAATACATCTGCCTCAGCCTCCCAGAGTGCCAGGTCCACAGGTGTGAGCAACCATGCCTGGCTGATTTCCTTTTATCTCCTTTTATCTCCTTTATCTCTTCCTTTTATTTTCCTTCTCTAGTCTCTTCATCCCACTAAAAGGCAACCATTTTTACATATTTAAGAGTTTTTTTTTTTTTTGAGACAGAGTTTGTTTATGTCACCCTCGGTAGAGTGCCATGGTGTTACAGCTCACAGCAACCTGAGACTTTCGAGCTTAAGTGATTCTCTTGCCTTACGCTCCCACCACAATGTCCAGCTATTTTTGTTGTTGTTGCAGTTGCCATTGTTGTTTTAGCTGGCCCGGGCTGAGTTCAAACCTGCCAGCCTGGGTATATACAGGTGCTACCCTAATATTTAAAAGTTTTCCTGGCTACCGCTGAAAAAGTCACTTGGGAAAACTGATGCCATAAAAAAAAGTTTTCCTTTTGTTTGCACATGTTCTTATACATGTATGTGTATTGCTTTATATGCATATATTTAAAATTATGTAAATAGTGTCATAGATCTCATTCCGTTTCTTATTTTGCTCAGCACTATGTTTTTAAGATCCTTCAGTGCTGCTATGCATCCCCCAGTGCTCACTCACTGCATCCTGTGTGAGGGGGTTGCGGGTCCATACCTCCACCCCCCTAGTTTTGGCAGACTGTCCTCCAAAATGCCCAGGCCAGTCCACACCCCACTAGCAGTGCCCAGGGTTCCCTCTCTCCTCCTCACCACCTCCATCTGGCATTACCCAGCCTGTTGGCCTTTGCCTGTGGTGTCTCCTTGTCATTTTAATCTGCATTTTTCAGGTGACTAGTGAACTTGTGTGTCTTTTCATAGTTTTAGCTTTTTTAGGTTTCCTCTTCTGTAACCTGTTCATATCCTTGTGGAGACGTTTGGCTCTCAGGGTGACCAGGGAGAACTTCCACGGGGAAGTCACAACTTATTATTATTATTTTTTGCAGTTTTTGGCCAGGGCTGAGTTTGAACCCGCCACCTCTGGCATATGGGGCTAGCGCTCTACTCCTTTGAGCCACAGTGCCACCCCCATTTTTTTTTTTAAGGCAAGCACAGAACAAAGGTTTATTGAGGAAGAGAAAGGTAGATTTACAGAGTAAGAGCAAGATACAGGGGCTGACAGAGCAAGATACATTTGCTATACACAGTAAGTGGACTCAGGATGCCAGGACAAGTAGGCAGAGAGGCCTGGAATGCACTTTATATCTATCTATGTTCTATCTAGCAAATCTGGTGTGTAAAGAGAGAACCAGAGTAGGACAAGGGCAGGAGCTGGTACACTGTAGTCTAGGTGCATGAGGAAAGAGGTGTGTGTGTGTGTGTGTGTGTGTGTGTGAGAGAGAGAGAGACAGAGAGAGAGAGAAAATGGTAGTGGTAAGTGGTCCAATTCCCCATATACTTTGAAGGTATTGCAGACAGGATCTGGTGAAGAACTTGCATGTGGGATGAGAGACGAGTCAAAGATGACTCCTAACAGAGAGAGGTCATTTTGAGGGGAAGGAAATTTGCACACTGGGGTTGTTAATTAGGTGCCCAAGTGGAGACATTGAGTAAGCAGTTGGATGTATGTGGCTGCAATTCAGGGGCAAGGGCTGGGCTGGAGATGTGAGTCTGGGAGGATTCTGGGTACAAACGGCATCTGAAGCCTTGAGACCAGGAAGGAGCATGAATGGAGTGAGAATGGATAGAGAAAAAGACAGCTCTGGGACACTCCAATAGTAAAGGGAGAAGAGGAGGGCAAGAAAGACCAGAAAAGAAGGCAAGAAGTAACTCAACAGAACGGTTTCCTGGATGCCAAGTTAAGAAAGTGTTTCAAGGAAAGGAGTGATCCGCTGTGTCAAAAGCTGCAGGTAAGCCAAATAAGGGGAGTACTGAGAGGTGACAATGGAGTTTAGCAAAGTGGAGGTCATTGATGACGATGACAAAGGCAGTTTCAGAGGAAAAGCGGAGTTGGAAAGCCGACTGGAGGAAGGGGAGGAGGACTGTAAAGGGAAATAGAGTAGGCAAACCTGTCCAGGAATTTTGCTGTAAACTGAAGCAGAAATGGATGGGTAGCTGGAGGGGAAGTGGTCATTCCTTTTTAACAGAAGAAATTAATATGTTGGTATGCCGATGATATAAAGCAGAGGGGGTAAAATGATATAGGAGAAAATGGGGAGAATTGCTGGGTCAATACTTTTGAGAAAATTAAAGAGGACAGGAAGTGAAGGAGGTTTGATGAGAGTGGAGAAATCTGATACAATTATTCAGAATTACAGGAGGGGCAAGTTGAGGGGTATTTGAAACAAGTTGAGAAACGGGGAGAGGTGCATTTAGCCTTGTGAGATTAGTCCCTCTCGGCGCTCGGTAGCCAGCGTTCCGTTTCCTTGGAGACCGAAACGCAAGAGGAAGCCTCCGGTCTCCACGGGAAATTTGAGTGCCGGGGTCCCGTCGATCTACTTTGAGACAAGAAAGTTGGAGAAGCCGATCAGAGACCCACGAACGCACGACTTTTCTTCCCTTCTCCCCAATGGAGAACGAATTACAGAAGTAGGTGAAAAGGAGCTGCGGCGGAGTGGTGGAGCGCGCGTGCGTGTCCCTGCCGTCGCCCCGCCCTTGCCTTGAGGACGACCCGCATTCCTCTGACCCCGCCCACAATGTCCTCGCCACCCGTATTCCTTACCTCCCTCTGCTCTTGCACACCGTAAACTATAGTTTTGAGTTCGAACCTCCACGCCTGTTTTAAGTTTGCTGCTTGCAGCCTCATAGGGTGGGAATAATGGAAATTCTTTCTCGCCTCAACTCTTTCCAGATCCAACCGCTCTTGGACTTACTTCACGGTCCCCAAGTTCCGGAATCTGGTGAGTCTGGGAGGGGGAACCGACTGACCCTGCAGTAAGTAAGCCTCAGCAATCACGATCATGACTGCTCCGGGTGATGTAGTCTGGAGACCTGAATTCCAGGGCTAGCTGAGTTACACATTTGCTGTGGGACCCGGAGCAAGCCTCCGAACCTCATTTTTCTCTTATCACTACCTTATCAGAATGTTAAGAGTGTATAACGTTGCTCTCTTATTCATCTCTGATTGCTACTCTGGTTTTCTGAGGGTGGGTTTTGGGTTTTTTCCATGCCTTCTGTTTCTCACAGTTCTTAGCACCTCACAGCTTGGATGTACTTAGTAAATTCTGGCTGACTGATTAAAAAAAAGTGATAGCTAACATTTATAGAACACTTACCACATGCTTTATCATCTCTTTTAATTTTTGCACCCATAGAGGTAGGTTTAATTATCTAATTTTTGCACCCATTGAGGTAAGTTTTATTATTAGGTCCACTTTACAGATGGGAAAATTGAGGCTCAGACAGGTAATGTCATTTGCTGGAGGTCACACACACTATCTCTGTAAACAGGGTAGAGCTGGGATTTGAACCCATTGTACTGTGTGACTGCTTGTGTTTTGTCTGGTAGGATTATGTTCCATGGCAGCGGTCCAAACAGAAAAGCAAACTATCTACTCTGCTTTCAATCCCAGAAGACAGAGACAATGATAAAAGCAAAATGAAGACTTTGACTAGGAGGCAGACAGGTCAGCAAAAGCACTTGGAGGCTGGTGTGGGGGTTGGGGACAGGACAGAATGTATGCTCTTGGCCCTTAGTGACACTATTCATATTAGGATAGGCTAACTGATGTAACAAATAACCTTCAAATTGTAAGTATTAATATTAAGGTTTATTTCAGAGTGTGCATTTGTAGATCTAGGGGAAAGGGATAATCTGTTCCACATGGTCGTTTAGGGATCCAGGCTTCTTTGCCCTAGGGGCCCTGAAGTCCTCTGCTGGACACGTCTGCATCCGGCTGGCAGAGAGGGGAAAGAGAGCAAGAACATGGAGAATTTTGTGGGTAGTGTTTTGGGGGCCCAGACTTGAAGTGATGTATCATTCTCGCTCATATTCCAGGGGCCATAACTCAGTCAATAGCCATCCCTAACCACAGGGAAGGTGGGGAATAGAGTGTGTCTGTGTTTCTAGAAGGAAAAGAAAACAGGATTTGTTGAACTCATGGAGTAATCTCTGCCACATCATTATCATTCTTTCCAGGGGAGTTCTGAGGTCTTGGTTAGGCAGACATGAGTTCAAATCTTGGCTGTGCCATTTGCTCACTTGGGAAAGTCATTGATCTCTCTGAGCATTAGTTTTCTCACTTGTGAAAATGGGGACACGAATACTTCATAAATGAGAAGCTCCATGTAAAGCATTGTGGTTCACCCATATCAGACCCAATGTCTTTTTTTTTTTTTTTGAGACAGTGTCTCACTTTGCTGCCATCGGTAGGGTGCTGCGGTGTCAGCTCACAGCAACCTCAAACTCTTGGGCTTAAGTGATTCTCTTCCCTCAGCCTCCCAAGTAGCTGGGACAACTACAGGCACTGGCTACAATGCCCAGTTATTTTTTTAGAGACAAGGTCTGGCTCTGGCTCTGGTTCAGGCTGGTCTTGAACTCATGAGATCAGGCAATCCACCCTCCACCCCCACCCCCAGCCTCCAAGAGTGCTAGGATTACAGATGTGAGCCATGGCACCTGGCCTCCAATACCTCTTTTAATAACAAATGTTTTGTAATATTCCTTTAGTATCCTGAAGTGAATATCATAGACAATATAACCTACCTATGTACATACCTGTGTATATAATCACCTGCACCACTTTATTGCCATTAAATGGGGAATGTAAGATCAGCTCCCCCTGTGGGCAACACTGACACCCAAAAAGGGAGCAGGAGAGTAGAATGCCAAGTAGCCCCATCTATTACCTCCTTGTTTTGCCTCATTGTTGCTGGGTGGGGGTAGGGGCTCAGGTTTCCATTGGATTGTGCTGACACAGGTAGGCAGGGAGAAGGGAATGGAGCCTAGACTAATTCTACCTCACACCACCTCATTAAACCTCATTGGTGCTGGCTCAGTTCACTGCTGGACCCTGCTGGCACTACCCTAGAGGAGGAGTCATAGCTTTGCCTTCTACAAGGGGAGCTGCCCACTGAGCCCTGCCAGTACCATCCCAGCCTGGGAATCAGAGTACTACTAGGTAGAGATGAAAGATCAGCTCCCTGCTTGAAATCACTGAGGCAGGAGAATTGCTTGAGCTCAGGAGTTTGACTTTTGTCTAAGCAAGAGTGAGATCCCGACTCAGAAAAAAATGAGAAACCCAGCTGGGTGCTGCAGCAAGTGCATGTAATCCCAGTGGCTACTGGAGGCTGAGGCAGCAGGATGCTCACAGCCCGAGTCTGAGGCTGCAGTGAGCTATGATACCATCGCACTCTGCTCAGGGAAATAGGGTGGGACTCTGTCTCAGCAAAAACAAAACAAAACAAAAAACAAATATGCCCTAATGGTTGTTGAAAAAAGTGCAAAAAATTCAGTGGAGGAAAGAAAGCCTTTTCCTCAGATAGTCCTGGAGAAATGGGAATCTATAGGCAAAGAAATGAACCTTGATTTAAGTAGCACAACTTATACAAAAGTCAACTCAAAATATAAATGTGCAGTAAAATAAAAAATTAAATACAAAATATGAAAGTGTAAAAAACAGAAGAGAAAAATCTTTGGGACCTACGGCCAAGTAAAGAGTTCTTTTTTTTTTTGAGATAGAGCCTCAAGCTGTCCCCCTGGGTAGAGTGCCGTGGCATCACAGCTCACAGCAACCTCCAACTCCTGGGCTCAAGTGAGTCTCCTGCCTCCATCTCCCAAGTAGCTGGGACCACAGGTGCCCGCCACAACGCCCGGCTATTTTTTGGTTGCAGCCGTCATTGTTGTTTGGCGGTCTGGGCTGGGGATTTGAACCTGCCACCTTAGGTGTACGTGGCTGGCGCCTTAGCCAGTTGAGCTATAGGCGCCGAGCCAAGTAAAGAGTTCTAAGACTGAATACTAACAGCTTGATTCATGAAAGAAAAATGGATAAATTGGACTTCATCAAAATTAAAAACTTTTATCCTGTGAAAAGCTTTTTTAAGAGGATGAAAAGGGTGGCGCCTATGGCTCAGTGAGTAGGGCGCTGGCCCCATATACCGAGGGTGGTGGGTTCAAACTTGGCCCTGCCCAAACTGCAACAAAAAAATAGCCGGCCGTTGTGGTGGATGCCTGTAGTCCCAGCTACTTGGGAGGCTGAGGCAAGAGAATCACCTAAGCCCAGGAGTCGGAGGGTGCTGTGATGCCACGGCATTCTTCTGAGGGCAGTAAAGTGAGACTCTGTCTCTTAAAAAAAAAAAAAAAAGAGGATGAAAAGATAAGCTATAGACTTAGAGAAAATATTTGCAAATTATGTGTCTGACAAAAGACTACTAGGTAGAATTTATTAATAATTCTAAAAACTCAATAATAGAATAGAGTATTCAGTTAGGCAATGAGTAAAAGACATGAAGAGAGATATTTAACCAAAGAGTATATACAGATGGCAGATAAGCACATGTAAAGATGGTCAACATCAGCGATTAGGGAAATGCAAATGAAACCACAAGGACATATCACCGCATACCTATCAGAATGGCTAAATTAAAAAATAGTGGGCTCAGGGCTTGTGGCTCAAGCGGCTAAAGCGCCAGCCACATACACCTGAGCTGGCGGGTTTGAATCCAGCCCAGGCCCGCCAAACAACAACTACTACCAAAAATAGCTGGGTGTTGTGGCAGGAACCTGTAGTCCCAGCTACTTGGGAGGCCAAGGCAGGAGACTCGCTTGAGCCCAGGAGTTGGAGGTTGCTGTGAACTGTGATGCCACGGCACTCTACCCAGGGGGACAGCTTGAGGCTCTGTCTCAAAACAAACAAATAAAGAAACAAACAAACAAAAAATAGTGACAACACCAAATGCTGGCAAAGAGGAGAAACTAAATCACACATACATTGTTGGTCGGCATGTAAAATGGGGAAGCCACTCTGGAAGTGAGTATGGCAGTTTCTAATGAAATGGCAATTGCACTCTTGGGCATTTATTCCAGAGTAAAGAAAACTTGTGTTCACACAAAAACTAGTATATGAATATTCATAGCAGCCTTATTCATAAAGACCTCAAAACTGGAAATAGGCTGGGTGAGGTAGCTCATACCTATAATCCTAGCATCCTGGGAGAGTAAGGTGGGAGGATCGCCTGAGGTCAGGAGTTTGAGACCACCCTGAACAAGAGTGAGACCCCATCTTTACCAACAAATTGAAAAATTAGCCAGGCATGGTGGTGTGCCTGTAGTCCCAGCTACTCCGGAGCCTCATGAGGCAGGAGGATTGCTCAAGCCCAGGAGTTTGAGGCTGCAGTGAGCTATGGTGATGCCACTGCACTCCAGCCTGGGTAACAGAGACTCTTGTCTCATAAAAACAAAAACAAAACAAAACTGGAAGTAACCTGGATGGCCTGTAATGAGTGAATAGTTAAACAAACTGGCACATCAATACCATGGAATATTATTCAGCAATAAACAGGAAAAGACTATTGATGCATTCAACAATTTGGATGAATTTCCGGAGAATTATGCCCAGTGCAAAAAGCCACTCTCAAAAGTTACATTTATATAATGTTTGAGAATGACAAAATTTTAGAAGTAGAGAACAGATTAGTGATTGCAGGAGTTAGAGAGAGTTGAAGGACAATGGTAAGGGGAGGGAAACAGGTACAGTTATAAAAGGCACCAGAGATCCTCATGGTTATGGAAATGGTGTGTTTCTTGCCATCTTAATGTCAATATCCTGGTTGCAATACTGTATTGTACTTTTTGCCATTGAAAGAAATTGGGTAAAGGCACATAGGATCTCTCTGGATTCTTTTTTTTTTTTTGAGACAGAGTCGCAAGCTGTCACCCTGGGTAGAATGCTGTGGTGTCACAGCCCACAGCAACCTCAAACTCTTGGGCTTAAACAATTGTCTTGCCTTGGCCTCCCAAAGTAGCTGGGACTACAGGTGCTCACCACAACGCCCGGCTATTTTTTGGTTATAGTTGTCATTGTTTGGCCGGCCTGGGTTGGATTTGAACCCACCAGCTCCTCTATATATGGCTGGTACCTTAGCTGCTTGAGCTACAGGCGCCGAGCCTGGATTATTTCTTAAAACTGCATGTGAAGCTGAACTATATCAAAATTAAAAATTTGATAAATAAAAATATTTTTTTAATTTATTTTTACTTTTATTATCAAATAAAAAATTTGATAATTAAAGAAGATAAATTTAAAAAAGATAAATCAGGGTTACTACCACTAATGAAAATAAACACTCATTATTTTTTTGTTTTTTTTTTAAGGCAGAGCCTCAAGCTGTCCCCCTGGGTAGAGTGCTGTGGCATCACAGCTCACAGCAACCTCCAACTCCTGGGCTCAAGCGAGTCTCCTGCCTCCGCCTCTCAAGTAGTTGGGACCACAGGAGCCTGCCACAATGCCTGGCTATTTTCTTTTCTTTTTTTGGTTGCAGCCACCATTGTTGTTTGGCAGGCCCAGGCTGGATTTGAACCCGTCACCTTAGGTGTATGTGGCTGGCACCTTAGCCACTTGAGCCACAGGCACCGAGTCAATACTCATTATTGAAACTACAAATCTTCCATAAACACTTTGTCTTACAATTTTTTTTTTTAACAGAGTCTCACTCTGTCTCCTAGCCTAGAGTACAGTGATAACAGTGTTGCTCGCAGTAGTCTCAAACTCCTGGGTTCAAGCAATTCTCCTGCCTCAGCCTTTGGAGTAGCTGGGATTACAGGTGCCTACTATAACACCTGGCTAATTTTTTATTTTTAGTAGTGACTGGGTCTCACTTTTGCTCAGAGGCTAGTCTTGAACTCCTGAGTTTAAGTGATCTTTCTACCTTGGCCTCCCAGAGTGCTAGGATTACAGGCGTGAGCCACCATGTCTGGCTAATCTTATAATTTTTATTAAAGATATGTCTATGTTATTTTATTTTATTTTTTTGAGACAGAGTTTTACTTTGTTGCCCTCAGTAGAGTGCTGTGCCGTCACAGCTCACAGCAACCTCAAACTCTTGGGCTCAAGTGATTATCTTTTTTTTTTCCAGAGAAAATTAAATTTAACCAAGAGATTTCAATAAAACAGATGAGGATTTGAAATGATTGCCAGTCTGGTCATCCAGTGGGGAACTTGAAATTCAGACAAGATTCAACAGATACTTCTGTTCCTTTTTCGAGTCTTCTTGTCACTGATGCAACTATATTATTCTTTCATTATTTGTCCTAGTTCATTCTGTTATTACAATGAAGAAAAAAAGAGATAAACAATGTGTAAATATTTGATTTGAAAATTGCTCCACTGTAAGAGGAAGCAAATATATAACAAGTCGATTCTCTTGCCTCAGCCTCCTGAGTAGCTGGGACTACAGGTATCCACCATAATGCCTGGTTATTTTTAGAGACAGGGGTCTTGTTCTTGCTCAGGCTAGTCTTGAACCCGTGAGCTCAGGCGATCCAACCACCCTGGCCTCCCAGAGCAATTTTACGATTTTTATAAACACTGGTAAGGGGACTTTAGAACTTGGTTAATTAAATTCTCCTAACCTTTTAAGCTACATTAAAAAATTTTAATATATTCATTTTTATATTCAAATAATTTACTTATCTGTTTAACAAAAACCATTGAATATTTAAATAACTCTTGTATATCTAATTAAATAAACTTCTAATATGAGTAATCTTATGTTCTCTTAGAAGTTCCAGTAATTCATACACATTTAATAAGAGTCTTAAACTTTTCAACTTCACTCTAAATCAAAATCTCATTTATACCTTTAAAATTAGAATTACAAGATTACTCTAGCAATCATTGTGTCTCTCTTTTTTTTTTTGAGACAGAGCCTCAAGCTATACCCCTGGGTAGAGTGCCATGGCATCACAGCTCACAGCAACCTCCAGCTCTTGGGTTTAAGCGATTCTCCTGCCTCAGCCTCCCAAGTAGCTGGGACCACAGGCACCCACCACAACGCCCGGCTATTTTTTGGTGGCAGCTGTCATTGTTGTTTTGGTGGGCCTGGGCTGGATTCGAACCCGCCACCTTAGGTGTATGTGGTTGGCACCTTAGCCACTTGAGCCACAGGCGCTGAGCCAATCATTATGTCTCTTAAACAATATAATTAATACCAGATACAATTAATTTATAACTTTAACAAAATTAATTTACTTCATTATGTCTATACTTAGTACTAACATTTACCAGGATTGGTAATGATTCACTAATCTTGATCTATTAGTGAAATTATTAATATCTATCCCAAGTGAACTGGGTTGCACCTGGAGCAGAGATTCTGGTGGGGTCTGAGAGTCAAGGTGTAGCCACTAGTGTGATTGGTCTCATGCCAGTGCTGCACAGGCTGAGAGGAAGCAGCAATTCTGAGAATATGCCATCCAAATGCCTGTACTCCCATCGGGGGAACCACAGTTCCTGCTGGATTTTGGAGACAGTCGATTGCAGTGTTGTACAGGTCCTCTGCCTTCATAGGGCACTGTGGTCCAATTCTCAGGTCACTAGAAATAACAGTAACTACTAGTAATGTATGTCCTGCACTGAATGTGTCAAGCACTCTCTCCAGACACCTGTAAGGTATAGTAACTTTTAATGTAATCTTCACAGCAACCTTGAGGTAGGCATGGTGGCATGGTGATGACGCCTCTATACTTATAGAGGAACTGAGAACTAGAGAGGTTGTGTGATCTGCTTACGCCACACAGTCAGTAGAAGGCAGAGTGCAGCTTCAAACCTGGGCTGTCTGGCTCTTCAGTTCCTGTTCTTAATCCCTACCCCATCTCAATTTCCCGTCAACCACGCTGGTGGGAGACCGGGGACTTGAACCCAGGCCTGCCAGACTCTGGTCTTCTTGCTGTCCTGTGCTGTGTCAGCCACTGACCCAACAATTGGGAGTTCCTGACTCTTTCTGAGTACCTTCACCTGGGCTTGTCCCTCCCTGCTATCAAGGAGCTTATTGATGGGTGTGAGTTTCCTCCTCTGTCCAGTGTCACATGATAAGGCTGTGAGTGGGTTTGGGGCTGGGACCTAGGCTCCCCTCATTGGTGGTGCTCTCCCTGGGACCTGGCCACAGACCTGCCTGTGCCCTCACCCTCTCCCTGCCCTTTCCCATCTATCCCAGCATTGTCCTCCAAGTCCTCCATAGCGGTGCCAAACCAGGTGAAGAATGCACGAGAACTCCGCAAATCAGAGAAGGTGGACTCTGGGATGATGCATGCCCAAATCAGGTTAATGAAGGTAGGAGGGACATTTGCCCACAGGCAAGAGAGGGGAAGGGGGGCAGGAGAAACTACAGGGAACATACACTGAGCATGTATTGGGTGCCAGACCTCTCATGGCAATCCCATGGATGTGCTCATGATCATTCCTATTTTACAGATGGGGGAACCGAGGTATAGAGAGAGAAGTGACTTGCACCAGGTCATAGAGCCAGAAAACGGCCTGCCAGCGGTCAAAGCTAGTTAAAGCATTTGCTGTTGTGTTTAAGACCCAAGAACACAAGCTGAATCATCCTTTATTTCTCTACATGAGGAACACAGTCTAGTGCTGTGATTTTCTTTCTTTCTTTCTTTTTTTTTTTTTTTTTTTTGAGACAGAGTCTCACTCTTTCACCCTGGGTGGAGTGCTATGGCATCATAGCTCACAGCAACCTTAAATTCCTGGGTGCAAGCGATCCTCTTGCCTCAGCCTACTGAGTAATCCTAGCACTTTAGAAGGCCGAGGCGGGTGGATTGCTTCAGCTCAGGGGTTCAAGACCAGCCTGAGCAACAGTGAGACCTATCTCTACTAAAAATAGAAAAACCAGAGGGGGCCTGTAGTCCCAGCTTATGTCATTATCTGAACAATGTTTCAAAAGTTTTTGAAGTGATTAAAAGAGAGGTCTTGGCTGGACATGGTTGAAAACACCTATAGTCCTAGCACTTTTGGAGGCCAAGGCAGGAGGATTGCTTGAGGCCAGGAATTTGAGACCAGCCTGGGCAACATAGCAAGACCCCATCTCCACAAAGAATATAATAAATCAGCTGGGTTTAGTGGCATGCATCTGTAGTCCTAGCTACCGGGGAAACCAAGGCCAGGAGGATCTCTTGAGCTCAGGAGGCTGTGGTTACAGTGAGGTGATTGCACCATTGTACTTTAGCTTGGCAACAGAGCAAGACCCTGTCTCTAAAATATAAAAATTTAAAAAAAAATTTTAAAGAAGAGGAGTCTTTAGTGTACATAGCAGAAAACAAAATACTAAATGTTATATATACTATAAGATACTAGAGAAGAATTTCAAGGAAATTTTTCATAGCTTGATGAATAATGACTCTTATGTAAAGAAAAAGGGAAAATGTAATTTGCTCTGAAATCTTTTTTTTTCTCCATTAACCTTCAGTTTTGCAAAACGGTTTAGAGGCAGCCTAACATTTATAAAGCAGGAACTCGTTATCTCTAACGTTATTTTTATCCTGGCATTAGAAGGGTATGTGTTGTTTGATATAGAGTATGAACTTGGGCCATTTGGCTCTAAAACTTGTGCTCCTAACCAGTTCTTTTTTTTTTTTTTTGAGACAGTTTCACTTTGTCGCCCTTGGTGGAGTGCTGTGGCATCATAGCTCACAGCAATGTCCAACTTTTGGGCTCAGGCAATTCTCTTGCCTCAGCCTCCCAAGTAGCTGGGACTACAGGTGCTTGCCACAACGCCCTGCTATTTTTTCTTTCTTTTTTTTTTAAGCAGACTCAGGCCAGATTTGAACCCACCAGCCCTGGTGCATGTGCGCCCTAACCACTAAGCTATAGGCGGCCAGCGTCCTAACCAGTTCTTAATACTGTCTCTTATAGTCATTCATGCATTTAGTCAACACATATTTATTGAGCACCTACTGTGTGCCAGGCCTCATTCTGAGTGTGGGGATTCACCAGCGATGTGTCCCCTGACCTCAAGGAGCTCATGTTCCACTGGGGAGACGGACAATAAACAAGAGGAACATATGATATGTGCAGTGATGATAAGCTCTACGAAGAGCCCTGAGAGTGAGTGAGGGGGCTAGAGAGGCGCAGAGGAGGGGGTGGCAGTGACTTTTAGAGAGGGTGCTGGGGAAGGCTGCTAAGTGGTGATATTTGAGCTGAGACTTGGAGCAGGTGAGGAAGCAGCTAGGTGGACATATGAGGGAGGAATGTTCCAGGCAGAGGCACTGCAAGTGCCAAGGCCCTGAAGTTGTTGGGACTCCGGCAAGTGGTGACGAGGAGAGGTGTGGTAGGGTAAGGTAAGCTTGTATTTGTCCCTGTAGTTCCTGATCAGGCTTTGCCATTTTTTTGTTGAGTTACACAGGAAGACTGCAGGATTTTTTTTTAAGAGACCGAATCTCACTTTCTTGCCCTTAGTAGAGTGCCGTGGCATCACACCTCACAGCAACCTCCAGCTCCTGGGCTTAGGTGATTCTCCTGCCTCAGCCTCCTTAGCAGCTGGGACTACAGGTGCCCACCACAATGCCTGGCTGTTTTTTTGGTTGCAGTTTGGCTGGGGCCGGGTTTGAACCCGCCACCCTTGCTATATGGGGCCGGCACCCTACTCACTGAGTTACAAGCGCTGCCCAGGAATACTGCAGGATTTTGAGTAGAGCAGGGGTGTGATCTGGCTTAGGTCTTCACAGGAGACCATGGGCTGCTGCTGCCATGTGGGTATTGATTGTGGGCAGAGAAGAAATGAGGAAGGGTGCAGCCACCACCAAGTTGGCTTGTTCGTGGAGATCTTGACTCTATCCCTCAGTCTCAGGACAATTATTTATTCAATCTACAACTCTTTAGAGAGTGCCTAATATGTGCCAGGCACTGTGCTGAGTACTGGGGATGTAGCCATGAGCAGGGTTCATGTGATTGTGGAGCTTCCATATTAGTGGGGAGACACATACTAAATGAATTAAAAAACCCCAAAGGGTAGTTAATTATTCATTAATTTATTCAACCCATACTTGGAGAACTCCAGGCATTGTCTTATGTCCTGGAGGTGACAGCTGTGACAAAAGAGATGCATCCCCTGCCCTCCTGGGACATGCAGATAGAAGAAAAAGGAAGAAACACCAGATAATAAGAAAAATATCTGTTATGTTGGGTAGTGATAAATCCTAGGAGAAAAATAAATTGGGAAAGTAGGAGACAATTACAAGCTACATACGTGATTACAAATTGCTAGAAGGGTCAGTGAGGAAACAAGCAGCGATCTACATCCGATCAGGTGGCCAGAGGGAGCCATCTCTAGAGATCATTAAATTGTTACAGATTACAATGTTACAGATTCCCGGTGCAAACTGGCATTTTTCACAAGATGCTTCTGAGTATTTTGGTCTGGAGATGTAGAGGCAAGATAGTAGGGGTGGCCAGGAGCCCAGACTTCCAGGACAGCAGCTCTGCTGTGTGACCTTGGTAAGTTACTCAATCTGATCCTCAGTTTCTACTTTTATAAAGTGGGGCTAATCATAGCGCCCATCTCCCATCTCGTAAGGTTGCTGTGAGGGTGACGTACTGCAATGCACGTGATGTGTAAGCTCTTGGTACATCTGTATGATTATTATTATATGACAAATACAGGAGCTGAAAGCTAGGATGGAGTGGTTTCTGGCAAAGGACAGAGACAGAAGGAAGAACAGAAGAATAAGGAAGAAAGCAAATAGGTATGGCAGGGGCAGAAGGTTAGAGGCAGAGAGAGCAGTGTCAGACGTTGTTCATTGAGTGTATACTCAGCTCTAAGGCAGTGGCTTGACTGTGAATTTGACCTTAGTTATTTTTACAGCAGCTCTCTAAAGCAGGTATCAGTTTCCTTATTGTTGGAATAAGTATAACAGGGCTCTGGGAGGTTAATTAACTTGCTCAGGTTCCCTTAGATGGCAGGTAGCAGAGCTGGAATTTTTTTTTTTTTTTTTTTTTGAGACAAAGTCTCACTCTGTGCCCTGGGAAGAGTGTTCTGGTGTCATTTTAGCTCATACCAACCTCAAATTCTTGGTCTGAAACTCCTGAGCTCAGGGGATCCACCCTTCTCAACCTCCCAGAGAGCTAGGATTACAGGCATGAGCCACCATGCCTGGCCAGAGGTGGGATTTTTTGTAACCAAGGTATGTCTAGGCCTAACAGCCAAGACTTAGACACTCTGTGGTTCAGCTACACCTTGCAATTTTAAGCCCACTCAGTGTTCTTGTCTTAGTATAGGGGAAGGCACAAACTGAGACTCAGAAATATGGCTTTCTAATTCCAGTGCCACTTCTTGGCTGTGTGACATTGAACAATTCATTAAACTCTCTGAGCCTCATCAAGCCTCCACTTGTCGGCAAATGGAGTTTTTTTTTTTTGAGACAGAACCTCAAGTTGTCCCCCTGGGTAGAGTGCTATGGCATCACAGCTCACAGTAACCTCCAATTCCTTGGCTCAAGCGAGTCTCTTGCCTCAGCCTCCCAAGTAGCTGGGACCACAGGCGCCCACCACAACGCCCAGCTATTTTTTGGTTGCAGCTGTCATCATTGTTGTTTGGTGGGCCTGGGCTGGATTGGAACCCACCACCTTAGGTGTATGTGGCTGGCGCCTTAGCCACTTGAGCCACAGGTGCCAAGCCGGCAAAATGGAGTTAATGAACAAAAGGCTGTTGGGAGATGAACACCATATGCCACCTGCGTTAATAGGCCCTCAACAATTGTTACTGTTATTATTACTGTAGATTTTATGTGCCTGCTGGGTATAACCTTAGGCAAATCACTTAACCCCTCGGACTCTCATTGTTTCCACAAGGGCAGGTTGGATGAACTGCCAATATACATTAGTTCAGGCCTAGTAGGAAGTCGGGGCTATTCTAACCCTCTCTACCTTCCTTACTTCTCTTCCAGACATGGGAGTCACCTCTGGGATGTGTATTATTATTTCTATATTTCATTGATCCTAAGAAGCCATTGATATTAAGACACAACTTTATTTGCCCACTAATAAAATGGTGATGGTGACACACCACCAATTTTAAAATACATCCTCACCGACTTCAGAGATGTGAAATGATGGGAGCATGGGCATTTCAGAATGGATTAAAGAGTAACTACAGGGCAGCGCCTGTGGCTCAAAGGAGTAGGGCGCCGGCCCCATATGCCAGAGGTGGTGGGTTCAAACCCAGTCCTGGCCGCTCTGCCCCTCCCAAAACAAAGAGTAACTACAGAGGCTGGAAATAGTAGGGGAAGGGAGGTTAGGGAGAGAGATTTGTTAAAGAATACAAAATTACAGCTAGAGAGGAGGAACTCTCACTGTAGTCATCCTCTCACTGTAGGATGACTATAGTTAACAATAGTACATTATTATATAGTCTTCAATAACTAGAACGGGGATATTGATCGTTCTCAGCACAAAGAAATGATCAATGTTGGAGATGATGGATATGCTAATTACCATGATTCAATCACTATACATTATATGGATCAAAACATTACTATGTACTCCGTGAATATGTACAATTATTATTTGTCAATTAAACATAAGTAAATTAATTAAAACAAAAGAGTTAAGGAAGCGCGGACAATGGGGACCTGCCGCCTAGCCCGGCCGCATTTACCAGTGGAGGCCACGAGGGGGCGGGCGCCCACGGGAGGGCCGCGGTCCCCGGGCTCCCGGACGCTTGGGCCTGGCGGGGCAGCGCGCCGCCTCCCTCTCACCTCCCTCCTCCCGCAGATGCTGATCAAGAACAGAAAGACCTTGCTCCAGGAGCTCCGCAACCACGAGACCTTCCTCACCAAGCTCAATCTGGATCTGATCAGCACCATCCAGGACATGGAGGACAGCACAGCCCTGAACGTGCGGGCAATGCTGCAGCAGCAGGACATCCTTACGGTGAAACCCGCGCCTCTGCCCTCTGCAGCGAGTGTGTGCCCGCGCCTCTGGCCTGCCTTCCCCGCTACTGAGCACTCGGGCGCCCTCTCCTGCCCATTCCCGGCCCCGTTCCATGTGCGGCTTCCTCCCTCCGGAAAATGGTCGTTCCCACCCTTTGCCCCACCCACCTGGGCTTTGGAATCCTACCGAGGTGGGGTTGCTGCAGTCCCTCGCTACAGCACTTACTAGCTGGGAGATTCTGAGTTCACGTCGCTTTTGTGACCTCTGTAAAGTGGAACACAAGGGCATCCATCCCAAAAGGATGCATATGGTACCTGTGCAAGACACTGCATTTATTGCACCTGTGCAAGAGAGGGCTGCCACCACCACCACTAGCAAACACGAGTGTGGTGTTATACTGAGTGCTCTACATGTGTTCATATAGTCACAACAGCCCTCTGGAGTGGGCACTGTTATTACCTCCATTTACATATGAAGAAATGGAAAGGCAGAAAGGTTAGGTGACTTGCTCAGGGTCACCCAGGTGGCCAGGGTCAGAGGTGGGGTTTGCACCCAGGCATTCTGGAGCTAGATCTGTGCCCTTTCTACCACCCCATTAGCACCAGCAGCCCGGTGGTGGCGCTTAGGGTGAAAAAGCCAAATCTCTGCCTCCCCTGGGAGAGACTTGGTGATGCTGCAGTGAGAGGGCAGGAGGTTCCTATGGACCCAGGAGTTTGGGCTGGACTGAAGATTCAGAGAAAATGGTTTCTCGCTGTATCCTCACATGGCCTCGCCCAGGGGTCCTCAAACTTTTTAAACAGGGGGCCAGTTCACTGTCCCTCAGACCGTTGGAGGGCTGGACTGGGGGCCCCCGGATGAGTCAGCTGCTAAGCAGGACAGCAGAAACACCTGGCGGGCTGGATAAATGTCCTAGGCGGGCTGCGTGTGGCCTGCGGACCGTAGTTTGAGGACGCCTGGCCTCGTGGAAAGAAAAAGAGCTCTGTTGTCTCTTCCTCCTTTTCTGAGGACACCAGTGTTATAGGATCAGGGCCCCACATGTATGACCTCATTTAACCTTCATTACTAAAGTTAATGAACTTTCAGTTAATTATTTTAATTACTGTAAGGCCCTGTCTCCAAATATAGTCACTCTGAGGGTTAGGTCTTCAATATGGGGAGGGGGGGAGCACAACTTAGTCTACAACCAAGGTCAAAGACATACGGAGTTATTCAGAAACTTAGCAGAACATTCTCCAAACCTGGATGAAATCCCTGTCGGACTTGTCTACTGTTGGTTCACTTACACATTTTTTGTCCATCCTGAGTGTCTCCTCTGGGTCCTGAGGGAGGATAGTGGTCAGGGAGATACTTCATCCCCATGAAGCTGCTATTCTGGTGGGGACATGGGCTGTTAGAAAGCCTCAAGTGTGTGTGCTGTGCTAGAGGTGGAGGACCTGGGGAGCCCTGAGAGGTATGGGGGGAATCAAGAAGGCTTCCTGGAGAAGGTGATGGTTGGGCTGAAACGTGCAGAGTAGGTTTGACTGACAGAGATGAGGTGAGTATTCCAGGTAGAGGAAACAGGTGCCCAGGGCTCAGGGTGAGAGGGAGCTTAGCTGGCTCAAGGGGCCACATGCTGCCAAGTATGGCCAGAGGATAAGGTGTGAGGCAGGGATTAGAGAAAGAGGACATTGGCCCTGTACAGGCCGAGGAGGGCCTTGTCAACCAAGGGAAGGGGTTTGGAGCTCCTTACAGGGCAGAGGGGAGCTGTATTTTTTTTTTTTTTTAATATCTTTGTGACTGTTGTGTGGAGACTAGATGGAAAGAGGACCAGTGAGGGGTGGCTGTCGTAATGTTTCAGGTGGAGAGGAAGAGAATTTGCATAAGATGTGGCAGTGGGAGGTGGAGAGAAGGGCATGGCTCTGGGAACTGGTGGGGGACAAAATGCATACAACTTGGTGACATGTTGATGAGAGGGGAGCAGGAACTGGAGGCTGGCTTTGGGCCTGTGTGACTGGGTGTGTGGCAGGGTCGCTGGCTGAGGTGGGGCAGTGGGAGAGGAGAGGGATGTTGGTGGGTGGGAGAGCAGCCTCAGGTCAGAATGCTGGGCCTGGGAGTGGCACTGGGACTGGGGACTCCGCGGAGGGAGTGCCAAGTGTAGACAGCAAGCTGCAGCCCCCCTCCAGGAGAGCCTGGGGATGAGCTGGCCCCACTGCTCCCACAGACCATCGTTGACATATTGGAGACTTCGAACAATAAGAGGCTGCAACAGTTGAAGTCTGAGCTTCAGGAGTGGGAGGAAAAAGAGGAATCCAAGATGAAGGGTGAGAATCTTTGGGGTAAACTCCTTGCCCCTCATCCCTGGCACTTTGGGGAGGTCAGCAGCACTTTCAGAAGCCTTCAGGCCCTTGGAGGCAGATGACTTGCTGAGATGCAGAGCTAATAGCTGACTTCTTGAGCACTTGGCCCAGGTGTCTGCCCTGTTGTGGGTAGACTTTCACTCAGTCATTACAACTACCAGTAGGAGGCAGGGTCTATTCTCCTATTTTACAGATGAGGAAACTGAGGCTAAGAGAGGTGAAGTATCTTGTTGCAGGCTATACAGCTAGGAGCCAGAATCCATTCCTAGACTGGCTTTGGTTCCTGCCACAGTTGCTCTGAGAGTCTGGCTGGGCTAGGATGCAGCTCTCCTGGCTTCCATCTTGCTGGGTCTGTAGTTCTTTTGAGTAAAAGGGAAGTGTCTCAGGCAGCTGCAGACATTGGGGATCCCCTCCATGGAAGAAGGCAGGTGGACTTTGTCTGGGTCCTACTGTGGGTCATGCCTCGGGATCCAGCGTTGCTACATCTCCCTGGTCTACCTCTGGAGAGAGATCCAGAGAGGGACAGACTTGGTGAGCTGTGAGCAGTCTAGGGATCATGTACCAATTTCGTTTCTCTTTCCTACCCGGTGTTGCCTCTTGTCCTGCAGTGGTAGAAGATTCTCTGGGGGCTTAACTTTTCACCACCTCCCTATGTGAACTCACCTCAGCCCAGTCCCTAGTCCATTGGCCTCAGAGACCTTGCTTCTTGGGCCTCTGGGGATGCAGGGTTCCTGAGGATCCTGTCGTCTGTCCCTCCCGACCTCCCCATCCCTCCCCAGGCCTAGAGCAGCAAGTGAAGCAGCTGGATGCCAAAATCAAGAAGACCAACGAGGAGGTGAGCTTCCTGAGCACTTACATGGACCATGAGTATCCTGCCAAGTCGGTCCAAATCACCAACCTCGTGCGCCAGCTGCAGCAGGTCAAGGACAGCCATCAGGTAGGGGCACCCCTGCCTTGCACTACTAGACTGTGGGGGAGGCAGGGCTGGTGGCTGACACCCTACTGCTGATCCCCAGGAAGAGCTGGATGACCTTAGTGAGCTGCGCAAAAGAGTCCTGAAGTCTTTGGCTGACAAGATGCAGAATAAGAAAATAAATATTCTGAAGTCTCTGGTGGTGGTGAGTAGCCAGCTGCTTGGGTGGGTATCCAGGCCCTCTTCCCTGTCCTCTGCTTCCAGGGCCCTTCATCCCCCTGCCCTTGGTCTTTACCTTGCCTTCCTCCACAGAAAACCCAGTCTCCCTACCAGGACGCTCTTCTACAGAGGACTCAGAATAGCCAGGCCATGTTGAGGTGCATGGACAAGTTCAAAAAGGTGAGTAGACAGGGAAGGCGATGGGCCTTCTGTGGGGGAGCAGTGCTGAGCAGTCCCGAGCAGTCCCCAGGCTCACAGAAGTCAGGCTCATTCTGATTTGCCACTCAGAAGGTCTCTGACTCTACTTTTGGCCTTCCTCCTCCCCAGGACCATTACTATTACTTGTCCTATTGCTGAGAAGGGGGTTGGCCCTGGCCTAAGCTTTACTCCCTTAACCAGCAGCGCTAGCCATGACCCACTGGCAGCTTCATCAAGCATCATCTACTTCACCATTAGCCACTGTCTGTCTTTACTTCTTAGGTTCTCGTCACTGGCCACTCACTACCCATTGTCCATGTTAATGAACTTCACTATCACCACCCTTTCAAAGTAGTTTTTATTATCTTGCCTTGTCATCAGTTTTCAGTGTACGGGCCCTTTACCGTCTCCACCCGTCCCCACTGATTCCCAGGATCAAGCAGTCCCACCCCTTTGCAACCTGTCTCCATCTTCCATGAACCCCTCACCTTTTTTGGCACCACTGAATATTGTCACTGATTTCGAGCCAGCCCTCCCTGGAGGTCCCCTCTCTGGAGTCAGCATATCCCAGTGATAAAGCCCATATCATTTCCCCAGAATCTTTCATCTTCATCTGTTTTTTCCCCTTTCTCTTTTGGTTGGGGGATGTTTGGCTTCTCACCTCTCTCCTGCTATGCCTCCCTCCCCCCAGTTTATTGACCAATTTGAAGAAGAAATACCCATCTTAAGGGCTGAGGTGGAAGAGCTCCAAAAGAAGACCCTGGAACCCCGAGAGATCATATTTCAGGATGTTTTGCTTCGAAGACCCAAGTATGTGATCTTTTTGAAGCTGCCTGTAGGCCAACATTTTGTACTTAATCCTGAAAGCAAGGGATTTTAAGCTGAATGGTGACATGATCAGATTTGTATTCCTAAAACATTTTGAAAAGAGCACAGGGATAGGATCAGAGAGGAGCCAGAGTGGAAACCAGGAGGGAGAAATCGATGGACTGGAGGAGTATTTAAGGAGATAAAATCTGTAGGACTTGGTGATGTTTCGATGTGGGAAGAATAGGACAGGGAGATGTCAGGATAACCCTTGGTTGTAATAAGGTAGGTGATGGTACCAAATCCAGAGATTGGAAAGACTGGGATGAGGACTGTATGTGTAGTGCCATTGGAAGCTGACCCGCATGTTAAGTTTGGTTTATGTGAGTCCTGAGTGTAGACCTCAGAGGACAGATCCTGGATAGAGGTAGAAAATTGGGTGTTGCCAGTATAGAGATTAACTTTTTTTTTTTTAATTTACCATCATTATGAAAGATTTCAAATATACAGAAAAGTAGAGAAAATATGATAATGAATATCCATTTGCCCATCCAGATTTGAAAATTGTTATATTTTTGCCATTTTGGCTTTATCTGCATTTATTCTTTTTTTTTTTTTTTTTTTTTGGCTGAAGTATTGTAAATTGCTTACATCCTGACATTTCATGCCCAAGTACTTCATGTGCATTAGTGGATTATTGAAACCATGAGAGCAGATGATCTTGGGAGAGTGAAGAGAGAGAATGTAATCCTGTAGCTTGTTAAATGTTTGTGCTGGTCACCGAGATGGGGACTGTGCTGCTGATGGGAATCCATTTCTCTTGCTACTTTCATGGAAGGAATAATGCCTGTCATTTCCTGAACACTTTCTACATGCTGGTGTGGTCTGGTTTAATCTTCCCACCAATGACCAAGGTTGGAGTTCTTACGCCCATTTGACCGTTGAGGAAACTGAGGCTCCCCTGGGATCTGGCACATAGGAGATGCTTGTCCCATAGGTGCTAACTTAAGGAGTGAGGCTCAGAGAGGATAAATAGCTTGCTCAGGATGACACAGTCAGGTTTCAAAACGAGTAATCCTGACTCCAAAAAGAGCAATTGATCTGTGGGGCCTCAGCATTTTAGAGCCAAGACCCTGCTGCCTCTTGGCCTCACACTCTTTAGGGGAACATGGTCCTGCTAAACTGATCCCTTTTCCATTTTTGATATTTTGTTTGTGTATATACATGTGTACATGTGGATGTCATGTGTGTATGTGCTCATGCTCATGTATGTATGCCCAGTTGGGCTTCCAGGTAACAAGCTGTGCTTTGGGATTGGGCCTCCCAGCAAGTGCCAGTGTTCTCAAGAGCAGGGCTTCCCTGCCCACCCCAACTCTGGCATGCTGTTGGCCTCTTACACCCCTCTTTGCTGCTTCCTGCCAGGTGCACCCCAGACATGGACGTCATCCTCAACATCCCTATGGAAGAGGTGCTGCCCTTTTAGATGGTGATGCCATGGGTCCCCCCTCCACTCCCTGCCCTCTGCCCAGACCTGGAGCCCCTAATCCTGTATTTCTAGGACTATATCTATATCTCATTCAGACCTTGATCTGCAGTCCCTCCCTCCCTGCCTCCCTGCCTCCCTCCCTCCCTCCTCCTCCCCTCTCTTTGGTTCTGCTACTTGGGCCAGATGGGGATTCCCAGGTAAATCTGTCAGCCATTTTTACCAATAAAGCTGGATTACATTTGCTTTTTTCCAGTACCTGGCGGGCCCCCAGCTGGGCCTTGTAGAAGATGTGGTAGGAATGGACTTTGTCTTAAGATGGGATGGGCAACTAGGTGGATTGTATCTGATGGGCTCCTCCATTGTTTTTTTTTTTTGAGATAGAGACTCAAGCTCACAGCAACATCATAGCTCACAGCAACTTCCAGTGCTATCCTCTTGCCTCCATTTTTAAATTTTTATTAGAGATGGTGTCTTGCTTTTTTGTTCAGCTGGTCTCGAACTCATGAGCTCAAGCAGTCCACCTGCCTTGGCTTCCTACAGTGCTAGGATTACAGGCATGAACCACCACTCCTGGCCTATTGTTTTGATTTTTTTAATTTCAGAATATTACGGGAGTACAAATGTTTTGGTTACCTGGATTGCTTTCGTGTACTCTCAGTCAAAGTTACAAGTGTTCCCATCACCCAGATAGTGTACATCGTGCCCATTAGGTATGATTTCACTCATCCCCTCTTGCCCTCCTCCGCTTGCTTGATTTCCATTGAGTTTTACTTCCATATTTGCACACAAGTAACTGATTTGCTGATCAGTTAAAAATAAGGAAAGCTTCATGTATTTGCACATCATCTTTATGCAGGACTCATGCTAATTTTCTCTATATTGCCCCAGTTTTATGAATAGTATATGTGCTGTTGAAGTGAACACACAAGTGGCAGAGCCCTCGTGAATGGGGTTAGGGCTGTTTTTTTTTTTTTTTTT